TGTAGCAGACAACAGTACAGGTGTGGACAACAGGTAGCAGACAACAGTACAGGCGTGATAACAGGTGTAGCAGACAACAGTATGTGGTGTGTGACAACAGGTGTAACAGGATAACAGTACAGGTGTAGCAGACACAAAGTACAGGTGTGATAACAGGTAACAGACAACAGTACAGGTGTGACAACAGGTGTAGCAGACAACAGCACAGGTGTAGCAGACAACAGCAGGTGTGACAACAGGTGTAGCAGACAACAGTACAGGTGTAGCAGACAACAGTACAGGTGTGATAACAGGTGTAACAGACAACAGTAGAGGTGTAGCAGACAACAGGTGTAACAGACAACAGTACAGGTGTAGCAGACAACAGGTGTAGCAGACAACAGTACAGGTGTGATAACAGGTGTAACAGACAACAGTACAGGTGTAGCAGACAACAGTACAGGTGTAGCAGACAACAGTACAGTGGTGAGACAACAGGTGTAGCAGACAACAGCAGGTGTATAACAGAGGTGTAGCAGACACAGTGTGACAACAGGTGTAACAGACACAGTACAGGTGGGACAACAGGTGTAATGGGGAGAATAGGTACAGGTGGGGTGACAACAGGTGTAACAGACACAGTACAGGTGTGGACAACAGGTGTAATAGAGATTAACAGTACAGGTGCGTGGACAACAGATGTAACAGACAACAGTACAGGTGACGGTAGGGAGGAAGATAGACTCTTGTACCTTGTAATACTTCCTGCTGTAATACACACAAACACACACACACACACACACACACACACACAGTATAAGTATACAAACCACCATGGACCACTATGAACCACTATGAACCACCATGGACCACTATGAACCACCTTGAACCACTATGAACCACCATGGACCACCAAGCACACACTCCACAGTGACCACAAGGACGTACTCTACACACTCCCAGTACTCCGTCACATGCGGCTTAAAATAATCCTCACACAATGTAATACTGTCACCATCCAGCACGTCACCATCAGCACATCACACCATCCAGCACGTCACACCATCAGCACGTCACACCACCTTGTGCCACGTCACACCATCAGCACGTCACACCACCCAGCACGTCACACCATCAGCACGTCACACCACCCGGCAGCACGTCACACCATCAGCACGTCGTCACACCACCCAGCACGTCACAACCATCAACACGTCACACCACCCAGCACGTCACACCATCAACACGTCACACCACCCAGCAGCACGTCACACCATCAGCACGTCACACCACCCAGCACGTCACACCATCAGCACGCGTCACACCACCCAGCACGTCACACCATCAGCACGTCACACCACCCAGCACGTCACACCATCAACACGTCACACCACCCAGCACGTCACACCATCAGCACGTCACACCACCCAGCACGTCGCCACCATCAGCACGTCACACCATCAACACGTCACACCACCCAGCACACGTCACACCATCCAGCACGTCACACCATCAGGACGTGTCACACCACCCAGCACGTCAAGCACCATTAGGTCACACCATCCAGCACGTCACACCATCAGGACGTCACACCACCCAGCACGTCACACCATTAGGACGTCACACCACCCAGCACGCCACACCATCCAGCACGTCACACCATCAACACGTCACACCACCCAGCACGTCACACCATCAGCACGTCACACCACCCAGCACGTCACACCATCAGCACGTCACACCACCCAGCACGTCACACCATCAGCACGTCACACCACCCAGCCGGTCACCACAACACAGTAGAGTGTGACAATGACATGTTGCAGAGTATAATATAACAATCATCTTGCAGAGAGAAGAAGACGCCACAATATTGCAGAAAACAGAGACAGCATTGCAAAGGAAAACAAAAACATCCGAGTTGCATTATAAAAAGTGCAATGTTGCAAAGACGACACAATGTTAAAAATGTACCGAAGCTGTAAGGTAACGACACAATGTTGAGAAGAACCACGAACCACTGTCTATGCCATGGCCAGCTCGGGGAGGAGGGACAGATGGCTGGCCTTTGAGGTGACAAGTTCATGGTTCAGGTGTGTGAGGCCAGGTGGCTTCAATGGACAGGTGGGTTAGAGAGAGAGTGATAACCCCCCCCCCCTCTTCGTAGAGAAAGAGAGAGGGAGATATCACAATCCCTCCTCCCTCCTCCCCCTTCATCAGTGTGGGACTCCCTTTGACAACACTACTGATGCTGTACAGCCCACACCCCCCCCCACACACACAGATAAGTGCGTGTGTGTGTGTGTGTGTGTGTGTGTGTGTGTGTAAGAGAGGAAAGACTGTAGGTGGATGGTGCTTGGGGGGTGACTAGTGTGGTGAGGAAACTGCATTATTTTCGGCTCGTCAAGGTCAAAGCAAGGAGACCTACCACCACTACCTACTACCACCACCACTACTACCACCACCAACACCACTACCATTACCACCACCACAACCTACCAACACCGGTAAAGGAAGGAGAACAGGAGGAGGAGGAGGAGGAGAGATAAGAGAGAGAGGGGTGAAGGTAAACATGACAGGTGTACACAGCGCCAGGTACAGATTCATTAGTAAAGACGGGGGCCCCACCTCATCCTGCCTGTCCCGCCCCTGCCCCTGACCATCCCTCCCCGCCTGACCATCCCGCCCCGTCCCTGCTTCGTCACCACAACAACAACAACAAGAGGTCGTCATCATCACAACACAGAAACTATTATGTCACAAGTTATATCAATTATCCAACACACTGTGACGCCTCGACACACACTGTAGTACACGCCATCCATCATTACTTTGTTTGGGCTGACAACTCCCTGACGCACGCACACACGGACGGACAAATACACGGACGGCAGGAGGCAAAACACACGTCCTTCATTTTCCATACAACAATCCTGCACCAATAGAACCATTACAACCACCTCACCAACACAACCATCAGATCAGCGCTACAACCCTCAGGCCAGCACCCCACTACTCTTGCACCACAACCCTCAGGCCAGCACCCCACTAGTCTTGCACCACACAACCCTCAGAAGGCCAGCACCCCACCACTTGCACCACACAACCTCAGGCCAGCACCCCACTAGTCTTGCACCACAAACCTCAGGCCAGCACCCCACTACCTCTTGCACCACAACCCTCAGGCCAGCACCCCACCAGTCTTGCACCACAACCCCAGGCCAGCACCCCACCACTCTTGCACCACGTAACCCTCAGGCCAGCACCCCACTAGTCTTGCACCACAAACCCTGCAGGCCAGCACCCCACTACTCTTTGCACCACAACCCCAGCCAGCACCCCACTAGTCTGCACCACAACCCTCCCCAGGCCAGCACCCCACCACTCTTGCACCACAACCTCAGGCCAGCACCCCACCAGTCTTGCACCACAAACCTCAGGCCAGCACCCCACCACTCTTGCACCACAACCCCAGGCCAGCACCCCACTAGTCTTGCACCACAACCCTCAGGCCACCCCACTACTTGCACCACAACCCTCAGGCCAGCACCCCACTAGTCTTGCACCACAACCCTCAGGCCAGCACCCACTACTCTTGCACCACAACCCTCAGGCCAGCACCCCACTACTCTTGCACCACAACCCTCAGGCCAGCACCCCACTAGTCTTGCACCACACCCCCTACTCTTGCACCACACCCCCTACTCTTGCACCACACCCCCTTCTCTTGCACCACAACCCTCAGTCATGCACCACAGTCACCACTAAGAGAAGAGATAACAAAGATAACAGCGAACACTGTACCGTGTGTGGTGTTGTGGGGGTAGATGGAGGGAGGGAGGGAGTAGGATACACACACACACACACACACACACACACACACACACACACACACACACACACACACACACGTACGTCAAAGTTTTGATGAGACAGACCCAAGCCTTGTTAACCTCCTCCCCATTTCCACCTCACCTTCTCCTCTCCCCAGCTGGCCTGCCTGCGTTCAAGAACCTCCGGTGTGCACGCAAGGATTTGAGGAGGAGGATGTGCCCCACTGAGGAAGGAGGGCGAGGTAGGAGGGGGCGGTAGGAGGGTCAGTTGGACTACGTCAGAAAGCATTTGTTCACCGGAAAACCAGATTAAAATTCATGTCATGGGCGAGTATGAGGGGTGAGGGAGGGTGAGGGGTGAGGGAGGGTGAGGAGTGAGGGAGGGTGAGGAGTGAGGGAGGGTGAGGGGTGAGGGAGGGTGAGGGGAAGCTGCGAACGAGTGTGACAGCCATGACGTCACAGGCGTCACCCAACACAACTATTCTCCTCCCAATTAACATCTGGACAGGTAGGTAGCCTTGTGCCCCCCACCCTCATCCCCCTAACAGCTGGGTGAACCTTGGGATGCCACGGGCGAGAACCAGCGACACACGCACAACTACCAGATAATGCACTTCGTAATTATTGCTTTAGCGAGGTCATCCTACCTCCTCCTTCCTCAACACACAAGGAAGAAGAAAAGGGAGGAAGAAATGGGAAGAGACTGAGAAGGAGGTGAAGGAGGAAAGAGGATTAACAAACGAAGAAGATGGAGGAGGAGGAGGAAGCACTACAGAAGGACAGTCACATAACACAGAAGGACAGGAAGATCAAGTGATTAGAATACACACACGTTATTAACACCAGGTCCACCTACCACCCAGGGTCGAAGTGCCACGGACGACACATGTATACAGACCAGACGTTCGTATGTTTCCAGAAGAGCTACACAAAACCTGTACCAAACACGTTAGAAACACACACATACACCTCACATAGTTCAAACTCGTGTGTGTGTGTGTGTGTGTGTGTGTAAGAGTGAAATCATGCCGTTAAATTACTGCCAGCATTTGTATAACATTATCATTATTATTGTCATCATCATCATCATCATCATCATCATCCACCAATCACGTGGCTGTATTTTGCAAGAGGTGAGTATAAAGGACCAATTACCATCCAGTCTCATCTCACTATTATGTAAATGAGATGCTGCCCCGGAGACAACACTGCGGACAACACTGCACAGAATCACCCCAGATAACCCCCCCAGAGTACCAACTCCTGCCCCAGAGTACATACTCCCGCCCCCAGAGCACCAACCCTGCCCCCAGAGCACAACCCTGCCCCCAGAGCATATACCCTGCCCCCCAGAGAGTACACATACCCCTGCCCCCAGAGTACTCAACCCCTGCCCCCAGAGTACATACCCTGCCCCCAGAGTACATACCCCGCCCCCAGAGTACATACCCCTGCCCCCAGAGCATATACCCCTGCCCCCAGAGGCATGTAATCCCGCCCCAGAGTACATACCCCGCCCCCAGAGTAGACACCCCTGCCTCAGAGCACTCCCGCCCCCAGGAGCATATACCCCTGCCCCTAGAGTACTCAACTCCTGCCCCCAGAGTACCAACCTGCCCCCAGAGTACTCAACCCTGCCCCCCAGAGAGTACCAACCTCTGCCCCCCAGCATATACCCCTGCCCCCAGAGTACCAACCCTGCCCCCAGAGTACCAACCCCGCCCCAGAGTACATAACTCACCCCCCAGAGAGCATCACGAAAGTACTAAGGACTTAACATCACTTGATTGAGATGATTTAACTCCCGAGTACCACGATTTCCAACACACACACACACACACACACACACACACACACACACACACACACACACACACACACACACACACACATTATTAATGGTTACCTCATGTCCAAGGCTGGCTGCCCCCACGGCCACCCAGACGCGTTCAAGGTGTAGAAGCTGTCGCCATCACCACACAACCACAATCTCTGAGTTAACGAGCCATATCATCCAGTTACAGTAACAACCCAACAAGACCGACCCCCCCTGCCACAAATCCCAACCCCCCACATCTCCACATGCACATCCCCCACACACCATTACACTCCCACACACACCCCCCCACATCAACCACACAATTACCATTTACCATCAATATATCACCAGGATTGAGTAATTATGCAAATGAGTCAATAACGAGCGCTCGTTTGGGGTGATGCTCATGTGTTGTGCTATGGGGGGAGGGGTACACCTTCAACCAGCCCTGACACGGGATTGGGTACCTGTGTACATAGTTCTACTAATCTAGGCATCCTATTGGTCAACTCTGTGTGAGAATGGGATACTATTGGTCCACAATGCAAAACTTTCCCTCAATCTACGCATCCTATTGGTCAAGTCTGTGTGAGGATGAAACGCTATTGGTCAACTATCAAGACGGAGGAGAATGGGGAGAAGGGAGCAGGTGGCAGGTAGGCTGAGAGAAGACCAGGTCAAGGAGGAGGAGGTCAAGACACACACACACCTGGGCAGGTAACCTTGACTACCCTCCTCACCTCACCCCTGACACTTCACTTTCTCTACGTGTCCCTCCCGCTCTGCTTCCCTCCCCCTCTCCATCTATCTCTCTCCCTCCCTCAGTCATAGAGAGTATATTGAGAAGCATGTGTTCAATTAGGGTTAACTACAGCACAAGTCTAGTCATTTTCTACATTGACGTGTATTACAAAAGTGCTTTAACCCACATACCATACAGAGACACACATGAGACTACATAAGAGCCAGTTATTGTAACGGCACATGATACACAACTTTACCTAAAACTACATAAAAAACTACAGTCCTTAGCTGACCTCCTCCTTCACCTTCTTCCATGACAAAGTATTTACCTTTATAATGATCAACTCTGGCCAGGTAAACCATCACCCACCCTTCCTTCCACCTACCTGCATGATGACGTGGGTAGCCAGCTGAAGGGTGAATAAGCACTACACTAGCTGGGGAAAGATGGTTGACGTACCTGTAGGAGAGGTAAACACACTAATTAATTACTTGTCCAACACAACAACACAACACACCTCCAACCCCTAATGTTGTAATAATAATGATAATAATAACAATAATAATAAATAATAATAATAAACTCAAACTTATGTACACAACTTTAGCACAAATTATGATTATTATTATTATTATTATTACTATTATCATATTATTATTATTATCTGAAAAAAGGTACGACATACTGATTGAATTCAAGGTCACACACACACACACACACACACACACACACACACACACACACACACACACACACACACACACACACACACACACACACACACAGTGCCTCAAGATTCAGTAGAGAAATATAAACAATGACGATGAAAGAGTAAAGAGTGTCTCCGCGGCGGTAGTGAGTGTAACACTGTATGGCCACTACAGGTGATAGCTGCCCTCAACACTGTATGGCCACTACAGGTGATAGCTGGCCCTCAACACTGTATGGCCACTACAGGTGATAGCTGGCCCTCAACACTGTATGGCCACCAGGTGATAGCTGGCTCACACTGTATGGCCTACAGGTAATGGCTGGCCTCAACACTGTATGGCCACTACAGGTAATGGCTCCTCAACACTGTATGGCCACTACAGGTAATAGCTGGCCCTCAACACTGTATGGCCACTACAGGTAATAGCTGGCCTCAACACTGTATGGCCACGACTGGTAATACCTGGCCCTCAACACTGTATGGCCACGACTGGTAATACCTGGCCCTCAACACTGTATGGCCACGACTGGTAATACCTGGCCTCAACACTGTATGGCCACGACTGGTAATACCTGGCTCTCAACACTGTATGGCCACTACAGGTAATACCTGGCCCTCAACACTGTATGGCCACTACAGGTAATATCACACACCTGGCCACTACAGGTAATATCACACCTGGCCACTACAGGTAATATCACACACCTGGCCACTACAGGTAATATCACACATCTGGCCCTCAACACTGGCCACTACAGGTAATATCACACACCTGGCCCTCAACACCCACTACAGGTAATAACACTGGCTACAACAGGTAATGTCACACACCTGCACTACAGGTAAATCACACACCTGGCCACTACAGGTAATATCACACACCTGACCCTCAACACTGGCCACTACAGGTAATATCACACACCTGGCCACTACAGGTAATATCACACCTGGCCACTACAGGTAATATCACACACCTGGCCCTCAACACTGGCCACTAGGAACTACGTCACGCGAGGCTTTGAACCGACAGGTGAGGCGTTAGAAGCAGGTAAGGAAGGTGTTAGTGGGGGGTCGTCACGCCAGGCCAGTACCTGTGGGAGGGATCCTTGTCGGGGACGGTCACGGCGATGGCTGGGGCGGCGGGGCAACATCCATGGGCGAGGAGGACCCACGCCCACAACTTTAGCCACCCGGCCTAGAGGGGGCGGCGTGTGGGGTGGAGGGGTGTGCACTGGAGGCGTGTGAGCCCTTGGCGTGTGTGACGGGGGCGTGTGTGACGGGGGCTTGTAGGACGGGGGCGTGTAGGAGCGCCGCATCACCAGGCCACCCACTCCCAGAGCTACGGGGACGGGCAAGTCTTCTGGCGTGGGCAGCACCCCGGAGGACAACGCCCGGCCACCCACGGAAGCTGTCAACCACAACAACAACTTGTGCTCAGACCACCACTACACCGTACCTCCCCCCCAGCTGAGGGTCACACCTGGCACTACCCTGTGTGTGTGTCTGACGGCCTCAACATCAACACCTGAACTTGAATATGTACAAAGGTTCAGGTGTTGGGTAGAGGGGAAAAACACCAAAATTTTGCTATGTTGAAAGTGAGAAGTTCAAAGAACCTGACAGTTAGAGCCAAGAACAGTGACGGCGGGTAGTGAGGGGCAGTGTGGATATAGCATAATGTATATTACCACCCTATTGCATCATGGCCGGGCACTGTACTCGACCACCTTCACTTCCTCAACGGTAAACTTAGGTATCCAGACACAGCTGAGTGGAACCAACTTGGGCGTGAACCAGCGACAATTAAGACAGGAGGCGAGAGCTGTATCCACACTACCACCGCACACACACACAGGTCCCCCCAAGTGGCGCCAAATATGACCCTCAACACAACAGTCTGTAAACCTTTACACCAATATTTCCTCAAACAATAACAAGTTAACCAATATCTTGGTTCAGGTGGTGAGAAAGTTGTTCACAAAGTGACCCTAACTTACAACAAGAGTTAAGTTTATAATTATTACTGAAGGCGATGCAGTTGTTAGGTAAGGTTATATATTATGAGGTTGTTATATAAGAAAACTTGAGGCTTCATCACAACACTTGTTACAACCTTCCTGCATGGACTCTTAATGACTAGAATTATCTTAACAACTTACCAAGTTTTGTAACACTACAGTATATGTAACACAATTTATACATGTAACATACACTTTTTGTAACACACTATATGTAACACGTAATACATGTAACACGTACTATATGTAACACACTAAAATTATGTAACACACTCTATATGTAACACACCCTATAGGTAACACTATATGTAAGACATGTAACACACTCTACATGTAAAACACATATGGCCCTCTCACCTTACAACACTACGCCACACAGTACTACAAATACCACACCTGGTGACCTTGTGCGGCACCTACCTTAATTATAGGACGCCCAGGTGTAGGACCGATCCTTAACTTAGTGTATCTAACTCTTTGGCGACGATGGTTTAATTTATAACTCTTTAAAGGACGATGATTCATGTTATAATCCTTTACCAAAAATCTCCTTAAAAACGCTGTTCCCGAGTGTAAGGGCCTAACACCCACTGCCCTCAGCCATCCTCACTTAACCTAAAATCAGGTAGGGATTCACAGCTAGATGGACTAGGGTGCCCTATGACGGGATGTGAGCGTGTTATCCACTCAGCCACAGACTCAAGTGTTGCTAAATGAAGTGTTTGTTTATTTAAAGTTTCATTGTTTTGTAAGTTAATACTGTCTTAATGTAAACATGAACTAAGACTCCCCGTTAACAAAAGGTTAATATATACTGGATGAGATAACACTGTACATTATATTCTCTCTCTGGGGATTGTAATAATAATAATAATTAACGATTCTGAAGCCCAAAGGCTGAAAATATACATTGGACATAAATGACTTATTACATACATAAACATGGGGGAGTTACCAAAAGCCTTCATTAGGTACAGATTAATGTTTACAGTGGAGGCCACGTAGGTCATGTGTACTGATGTGTAGTAACTCCCTCACAGATGGTGTTATGAGGGGCCTGGCGTGGTGTAGTAACTCCCTCACAGATGGTGTTATGAGGGGCCTGGCGTGGTGTAGTAACTCCCCCACAGATGGTGTTATGAGGGGCCTGGCGTGGTGTAGTAACCCCTCACAGATGGTGTTATGAGGGGCCTGGCGTGCAACCTCACAGATGGTGTTATAGGGGTCTGGCGTGGTGTAGTAACCTCACAGATGGTGTTATGAGGGGCCTGGCGTGGTGTAGTAACTCCCTCACAGATGGTGTTATGAGGGGCCTGGCGTGGTGTAGTAACCTCACAGATGGTGTTATGAGGGGCCTGGCGTGGTGTAGTAACTCCCCACAGATGGTGTTATGAGGGGCCTGGCGTGGTGTGTGTGTCCTCAGTTTACTATAATGCCCAACTTGTTGCCGAATTGGTTCAACAAGTTTTTTTTTGAGGCGTCAATACTGTGTGTTGCCGCGCCCAGTAACACGGCACTGCGTCAGGCGCGCACACGCACACAACAAACCCCCGTCACACACACATAACAGGGTGAAGGGTGAGGATGGAAGGAAGGGTGAAAGTGAGGGTGAAGGTGAGGGTGGAACAATGTGGCTCAGTATTGCCAGGCTATGAGAGCCAGCTGCAGGAGCCATGATAACACCACTACGAGAGAGAGAGAGAGAGAGATGAGATAGAGATAGAGAGAGAGAGAGAGAACATGCATACCTGCAACAAGTCGTAATATATCGCTTAATGGCCTCACCCCCCGGGCCAACCTGTGCCAAGTGCCTATAACATTTTCTCACAACTAAGTCATCTTCACACTCCTCCACCAAACCACTGTCTATCTCCCTCTCTCCAACACCATCACCACCAGATGACTACAGATGGTGGTGATGGTGGTTGGAGAAGAAGTAGAGGACAAGTGCCAAATATCCCAGGTGCCCCCCCCCCCAACTAGTGCCAACCTTCCTACCAGAGAGAGAGACAGCGTGGCACCTCTCCTACCACCACTACCACAATCCTCACCATCACTAACACCACCACAATTCTTACTACTACTATCATTATTACCACCACTACCACAATCCTGACCACCACCACCACCATTATCCTTACCTACTACCATCACTACTACAATCTTACTACTACCATCATTGTTACCACCACTACAACAATCCTTACCATCACTACCACCACCACCACAATCCCTACAATTATCACGATCCCTACCATCACTATTACCAACATTATCCCTAACACCACCATCACCACACTACCACAATCCCAACCACCACCACTACCATCTTTGTGTTAAACCTCGCTCAGGTCTCAGTTTAACAAGGGCACAAGTTATTATCATCATTCTGGGTACCTCTTGGCACCTGCAGGCACTCAGTCAATGACCTCACCACCTGGCACCCTGACCCCTGGGCGTGGCACTAGGGAAGATTTTTAAAAGGGTCTCACTTATTTTTCTGTACTCTTGTTTCCTTTCTCTCTCCTCCTCTCCTCTCTCCTCCTCTTCCCCTTTCTCCTCTCTTTCTTCACGTCTTTGCCTTCTTTATCTCCTCTTCACCTACCATTAATGCCTTCCCTTCTTCTCACCTACCACTTACTCCTTCCTCTCAGGTTTACAAGGAAGGAATGTTACATAGCACAGTGCGGCACCTAATGAGTGTGAGACAGCGTGGCACCTCCTGGCAC